TGGGGGGGCCACAGGGCGCTGGGGTGTGTGAGGGGAGGTGGGGGATGGGTTATAACCTCTCCCCTGTGTAAGGGGAGCTGGGGGGCACAGGGAGCACTGGGGTGTGTGAGGGGAGGTGGGGGATGGGTTAGAACCTCTCCCCAATGTGAGGGGGGCTGGGGGGACAAACGGACACAGCGCCGTGAGGTAAATCGAACGGGACCCTGTATATTGGCATTGGAAAAGGTTCAGAAAAGATCAATAATAATGATTAGTGGTTTAGGTTGGACATTAGGAAAAACTTCCTCCCTCTCCGGGTGGCTAAACACTGGAACATTGTGCCTAGGGGGATTGCCTGAACTGTTTATAACCGATCTGTGAGAACGGTTCTCCAGCCAGTTCTGCCCCCTGACAGTAGCCCCCTCTAGGTTGTGTTTGCCTGATATATTGATAAGCAGGTCAGGATACCGTATCAAACGCCTCCTGCAGTCTGGGTATCCCACGTACGACGTCCACCTCTTATCCCTTAGCCACAAGGCTCGTTATCCTTGCAGAGAAAGCTCTCGGATTGGTGTGTCATTGTTTGTTTTGTACAAATCCACACTGGCTGTTACCTGTCACCGCATTATCTTCCAGGTGTTTGTTTGCAGATGGATAAATGACTTGCTCCATTATCTTCCCTGGTATGGAAGTTTAACTGGCTGGTCTGTAGTTTCCTGGGTTTTCTTTTGTATAGATGGGCGCTAGATTTGCCCTTTTCCAGTCTTTTGGAAAAAGAACCTAAGAGCATCCAGGCTGGGTCAGACCCAAGAATCATCCAGCCCAGCATCCTATCTGCCCACTGTGACCAGTGACCGGTGCCCCAGAGGGAGGGAACAGAACCAGGAAGCATCCAGAGATACCTCCCGTCACCCATTCCCAGAGAAACAGACAAGAGAGACCATCCCTGCCCATCCTGGCAAATAGCCATTGATGGATACAACCTCCAGGGATCGACTGAGCACTTTTTTTCAACGCGGTTAAAGTCCTAGTCTTCATCACACCCTCTGGCGAGGAGTTCCACAGGTTGACTGTGTGCTGCGTGAAGAAAAACTTCCTTTAGTTTGTTTTAAACCTGCTGCCTGTTCATTTCATTGGGTGACCCCTCGTTCTTGTGGGAACAAGTAAATAACTTTGCCTTAATCACTTTTTCCATTGCTATCATGATTTTATAGACCCCTATCCTAATCCCCCTTCCTCTCCTCTTTTCTCCGTGGGAACAAGTAAATAACTTTGCCTTAATCACTTTTTCCATTGCTATCATGATTTTATAGACCCCTATCCTAATCCCCCTTCCTCTCCTCTTTTCTCCAGTGAAAAGTCCCAGTCTTTTTAATCTCTCCTTATGTGGGACCCGTTTCAAACCCTTCAGCATTTTGTTGCCCTTTTCTGGATCTTTTCCAATGCCAATTTACAGGGTCTCTCCATGGTACCCAGCATGCCCCATATCCTGCCCCACTGCAGGTCCAGCTCTTCTCCTGGCCTTGCAGCCTCTCCCCCCCCCGCAGCGCTGTCCCCTGGCA